AGCTTGATAACGGAGGTTAAGATTTCTTTTACCTTTACCTACTGAATATATATATATATATATATATATATATACGTTTTTGATTTTTCTGATCATATTATACGACCAAACTTATGTCTTCCTTATAACACTTTAGAACCATTATCGGTTGAAATGTATCCTCGACGCCAGGTAATAGATATCGGGAAATCGGCGTCTTTTAACTGTTCGATCTCTGGTCAGCCAATCTCAAGCATAGAGTGGAGAAAAGATCAACGGCCGCTAGAGGGTGAGACAAGACGCCACCTAGTGTCCAGGACTGTCGTACAAATTTCTTCCGTGGTAAGAGATGACAGAGGGATGTATCAGTGTTTTGTTAAGAATGACTGGGAATCTTTACAGTCGGCTGGAGAACTGAGTATTGGAGGTAAGGATAAGTGCAAATTTTAACCATCTAAACTTTTGTGAACAATTGTATCTCTATTACTACTGTTCTAAAGGTACTTTTAGAGGTGTATTTTATCATTAGTTAATCAACAGGAATTCTCTAACAATCTGAAATTTAGTAGGTTGAATGGCAATATATGCATTGTACACTCTTTTGGATCAGATTTATCTATAAAACTCACCTATAATACAAAAGTGCCTCCAAATTAATGATGCTAGCCATAGTAAACCGTTAATGTGAGTCATACACGTATAAACACTCTACATGGAGCATTTTCTATTTGACGTTGTTTTGTTTCACTCACAAGCTTTCTTTCGGTCAGATTTCAAATGGATCAGTTCGTAGCTTAGTTAATCATGTGTTACTTACGAATATCCGAATTCATATAACAAATATGATATCACATAAATCATGTGATACTGCGAACCTCAGGCAACAATGTTTAACAGAAGGATATTTGTACAAAGGTCTAGAAATGTTGAAAATGTGAATAAGAAAATATATGAAGAAAAGATGAAAATACAATTTATAATAATGTTTTTTCTTTTGTGAGAGGACTCCGTATGTCGTAAGGCCTGGCATGGCCTGGTGGTTAGGTCGCTCGACTCACAATCTGTGGGTCGCAGACTCAAATCCCCGTCACCAAACATACTCATCCTTTCAGCCATGGGGCGTTATAAAGTGATGGTCAATCCATTATTCGTTGGTAAAAGAATAGCCCACGAGTTGGCGATGGGTGTTGGTGACTAGCTGCCTGTCCTCTAGTGTATCACTGATATATCAAGGACGGCTACCACAGATAGTCCTCGAGTCAGGGCCTGAGAGAGGTGAGATGGGACCCGGGCCAGTCACAAATGTGGGGCCCACCCCACTCCGAAAGCCGTAAAATATATGAATAAAATCAATAAAACATAAAAAAAAAAGATTTTTCACCATTTATCAAAAGAAACTAATTTATATAACAGAAATTATTTACATTACTGGTTACAATGCTTCATAATTTACATTTATTTGAGATATAATTTGACGATGTGTATAATATTACCCGAATTGAAAATTGATAACAATTAAAATTAGTTTAAAAATGCTTTTCGAGCTTTAATTTGGGCTAATTCCTTTATTATCGTTGAAAGATCTATTGTCCGCGCAACGTCAGAATATATGTGTGAAGAATTGATAGCTCATTTAACCTTTCTTCGGACATTGTAGATCTTTTAAAATCTTCACTTTTTTCATAACGATAAAATTTCTTTCTGCAGAAGCAACAGAAGCGGGTAGACTCATAAAAATTCTAAGTGCTACGGGAAAATTTGAAAACAACTCAATTAAATTATTTTCCAATATTTTCTGTAGCAAATTCGACGGATTTGGTTCTGAATTAAAGTTTGTTCATAAAAACAAGTTCATCGCATATTTCTGTTGTAATTTTTGTGCTGAAGTTTTTATTTGTTCATCAGTTAAATACTCAAAAGTCCATAGGATTTCAAATAAGTTACAAATTTCGTGCAAGGATTCAAATCGCCGTGTCAATCCAGATATTACCGAATCAATAATACAAAAAAAAATGTCTATTCTATAATGTTTTTCAGCATCGAACTGTGATTAATGCTGCGGGTTGTTTGAAATTCTGTTGAAATTCTAGAATTTTCTGCCATTTCCTTTGACTTTGAAAGTCTTTTTTTTCCCATTCCCCATGGACTTGTCGAATATTTGAAATGAGGTTGTCTACGTTTTTCATCTCGACGTCCAGAGTCGCATTGCGAGCTTCAATTAATAAATTTGTTTGTTGCAATAAGGTTAAATTTCAATCCATATCGTTGTAAAAGAATGCATTCGAATGTATCCAAATATTGATTAATAGATTGTAATTCGGTACGTGCAAGTGGTTGAAGGTTTAGAAATTCCGCTTCTTTCACAGCAACCCGAATAGTGGATAAATGTCTTGCAACTGGTTTAACTGCATCGATTCGTGCAAACCATCTTGTTTTTAATATGACATGAAGTAAAACAGTTACATGTTTCTTTAAAGTCTCCCATCTCCGTGGATTACTGCTAAAGAAATTATACATTTGCTAAATTCTTCCACAGTAAAATATTCGCCTCTTTGCATGTTTCAACACTGTCAACTCCTACAAGATTCAAAGTGTGGTTTCCGCAGCTTGAAAAAAATGCAATTATGATTACTTTCAAGCAAAACCGCTTGTACACCATTATACTGTCCTGCCATATTAGCACCATTCTCATATGTTTGCCCAATACATAAATGTTCAAAATGTTCTAGAAATTCTAGATTTCGTAAAGCGATTTCCTTTCCTTTCTTTTGTGTGAAAGAATCAAACTTGACGAATCATTCCTCAATCGAAACTTTTGAATTATCTATTATTTTCACACACCGAATGACGAGACACGTTTGTTCTTTGTGTGAACAATCCGGAGTTGCATCCACGATGATGGAAAAATACTTGGACTTTCGAATTTCTTCAAGAATTCTTTTTTTGAACAAATGATCCACAAAGTTCGATAAGTTCATTTTGGATAAATGAGGAAAGGTAATGAACTTGAAGATGTTTGTGATTTTCTGTGATTCTCGAACTCTTTTTACATGATCGTATAAAACTGGACCGTACTTACCAATATGCTCGTTGAAACCAAAAAATGCTAAACATAGCTAACTTCCAGAATTCGCTCGAGAAGTTTTTTTTTTCAATTAATGGCATCAGCTGTTAGCCCTTTCAAAAGTATAGATCTCATTGAAGACTTTGATGACACAGATTTACTTCCCAAATTCCAATTAAAATAATTATCTTTATATATATAATCGAATTTTCATGAGTCGATATGTGGTCTTTCAATTTCCTCCAACCTGATGGACTTCCGAGAACTGATCTATCTGTTTCTACACTACTTAGAAAACATGGAACACAAAACAATGATTGTTTTGCTCCAGCACAACCAATCTCTTTTGCACGTTTCTTCATTCGATATTTTTTTTAATGTAAAACTGTGATTTTCACCATCACGTGGGATATTTTCTGGAATCTAGGAATGTTTAATTTGAAGAAAATCTTCCATTTGCATTGCATTATTTTTGTTGAGAAACGCGATGTCATCAATGGGATTAGCAGTTAAAATTATTGTATCAATCACATGATCTGCATCTGGATGATTTGATTGTGACTCCTTTTCTAGACCATCTGCGTCACCGACGGTCTGTGATGCTGATGAAGAACCCTCCATTTCTTTTCGACTCACAAATTATTTATTTGAATTTAGAGCATCAACATCATAAGTAGAAGTTGAAGAACTATTTGATGTTTCTTCCTGAAGATCGACATTTACGTTGTTCCGAAATATTTTCTTGGCGGAAGAATGATGTAATTCGTGGCAAACATTGTTTTGTTTCTTTGCATTCTTCTTTTCGTCGTCTTTTGCTTGCTCCACTAGGATATGATCTTTTCATTTTTATCTGTTTAAAAATGAAACCCCTAGACGTTATTTATTTATAAAAATATAATGAAAAAAAAAGGGCTTCCTAACTTGTGATTTTTGCCTCTCGTCTTAGATGTTAATACTTTCCCGGTCGACTGCGTGCCAGCGAAAGTGAACCGCAAGAGCTGCCACCTGTCATAGGATTGTTGCTTACAACAAAATTTAATTTTGATGTGTAGCCGATAAGCCGTCATAAAATATATTATTGTATCATTACTTCACGAATAGAATGACACTTTTAGAATAAATAATTTTTATTTAAGTTAATTTGGAACTTTTTTCAAAGACTTTCATATAATTTTGTTATCACATAAAATACTAAATTTGTGGCCCGGGCCATATGGTCCTGTTGGACCCCCCCCCCCTCTATCTGGGCATAGTCCTCGAATAGTTTTGCGCGAAATTCAAACCAAACTGTATGTCTCAAAAATACACTCTGCCATGATCTATGTTTAAACTCGTTTTTAGGACACCTTTCACGTGTCTCAGTCCCAAGTGATTCTTTGGCGCCCTTTTTTTTAATAGTCGATGTCTTGCCCAAGAATTAAACCTTTATTAGAACTAGATGCACGTTCTTGATACCCACCACTCTTTTGGTACTTACTGTCTTGCTCAAGAATTAGGCTTTTATTAGGGCTACTTGCAAGTTTTTGATACCCTTCTTTTGATAGCCAATGTCTTACCCAATAATTAGATCATTATTAGAACCATTTGTATGCCTTGGTCCAAAGTGATTCCTTGATGTTCTTCTTTTGATAGTCATTGTCTTACAGTAGAATATAAGTGTATTTTAATATTTAATATGAACATTAAGATGAGCATGTTCGTCCAATTGGGATGTCTAAGTATGACACAAACTAGAAACATTTTGTTACACGGTGACTACTAAATGGGCTGATTTCGTCTTTTTTTGTAATATTAAAAGCGTAATCTTAAGATATTTTTAGGTTTGATTTTTATGTCACTTACAAAATCACCATTGAACAAAGGGTCAAAAACTTCATTATAGACTTGTTTTCTCTCGTTACCAGTTGATGAGCCCTCTCTTCAAGAAAAGTTTCCGGAACAGACGTTGCAACCAGGTCCTCCCTTATCTCTCCGCTGTGTGGCACAGGGCAGTCCTTTGCCTCAAGTTACATGGTCCTTGGATGGGATGTCCCTTCCCGAGAGCCCTCGACTACGCATGGGAGATTACGTTACGCGACACCAACGTGTTATCAGTTATGTTAATATCTCCGATGTTCTACCTGAAGATGGAGGCACCTACACTTGCAAGGCAACCAATGATGGCGGAGAGGTCACTTATTCTGCTAAAATCAATGTCTTTGGTGAACCTTTTGTTCGGCCTATGAAGAATTTGTCTGTAGTGGCCGGAAATATGATGATGCTTCAATGTCCGGTTGGTGGTTACCCTATTGACCTTATAGTGTGGGAACGTGGTAGGTATAGAAGGGAATATATATTTTTATATTATTTCAATACTATTTTATAATTTTATTGTTACTTCTTCTATAATATAAGTTATCTGTTCTATTTGGTGTCATTGGTTTTATCATAAACATTTTAGTTCATTGTTTATTATTGTAATTAATTGATTGTTGCCGATGTGTGAATTTAATGTTTAACGCCACTGTTGAATATCATTAATTAACTCTACTCTATATATACTGTCATTGCTGGATTGCACTAGTCATCGTGTTTTGTCTCTAAAGTTAACACTTATCGTCATTATTGGATTTCCCTACTTAATTTCCCTACTCTGATCCTAAAGTTTACGTTTATTGTCATAGTTGGATTGCATTAGTTACCTTGTTCTACATCTAAAGTTAACACTTATCGTCATTATTGTATTTCTGTTGTTAATCAAACTCTGTTCCTAAAGATAATGTCCATTTTCATTGTTGCACTGAAATAGTTATTGTACTTTGTATCTAAAGTTAACGTTTTTGTCATTGTTGGACTCTATTAGTTATTGTACTTTGTATCTAAAGTTAACGTTTTTGTCATTGTTGGACTCTATTTGTTATGGTATTTGTACCTAAAGTTAACGTTTTTGTCATTGTTGGACTCTATTTGTTATGGTACTTTGTATCTAAAGTTAACGTTTTTGTCATTGTTGGACTCTATTAGTTATTGTACTTTGTACCTGAAGTTAACGTTTTTGTCATTGTTGGACTCTATTAGTTATGGTATTTTGTACCTAAAGTTAACGTTTTTGTCATTGTTGGACTCTATTAGTTATGGTATTTTGTACCTAAAGTTAACGTTTTTGTCATTGTTGGACTCTATTAGTTATGGTACTTTGTATCTAAAGTTCCTGCTTATCGCCTAGATGGTGTGTTATTAGCCAACTAAAATTAGTACCTAATGTTGATTTTTACTGAGTTTGTTAGGTGTATTATCTTTAGAAGTCTATATTCTATTTACGGTTACTGATGCCCCTCCCCCTCCCAGTGGCACAGCGGTATGTATGCGGACTTACATCCCTAGAAACCGGGTTTCGATACCGGTGGTGGGCAGAGCACAGATAGCCCATTGTGTAGCTTTGTGCTTAACTTCAAAACAAACAAACAGTTACTGATTGGCTATGGTAAAGACCACAGTAATTTCATAACTTAAGTATTTAAACTAAAAGTTTTATGTTCTGTTGAATAACGGAAAGATTCACGGTATTTGTTAAATTGGATAACATTTCATAATTAGAAGTTCAAGTGCTAGAAGAACATTGAAAACATAATGGCAATATTATCGTCAGCGAATTTTATGTATATATAAACATTTGCATTACTTTGTTTTTATTATTTGCTAAAATTAACGATTTTGAAACTTTCCTAATGAACCATCGGATCAATTCTCGTTATTATCCAGATTTGAATTCTCCTGCAAGCCTTATGCCTCATTAAGTTCGCTTTAGAATGGAATATTGGATAGTTTTAGCGCGTTACCAATAAGATACTTTAATTAATTCAGTTGTTCTGGACGCCTGACGGACTTTAACAGCTCGAGACACGCTTTCTCGAGTGTCGACTGCAGATAAAGCAGTATATTCAATTTCTAGGCTCTCTCTAACGTACAGTTTGTAAACTGTGGCAAGGCGGTATTCTATAGGAATACGTCAACACAAAAGCTCAGGGGCAAAGACCTAGCGCAACAGCATAGTGGAACAGAGCTTCAATTTGGTAATGGAATGTTTCTCAGCTTGGCTTGTTTTCATTTATTTCTCAACATCTTTTGGAGACTAATACCTTAATAATTAATTATTCGTGTCATTAATTTTCTTAAAGAGGTGTTTATAATTTAATTCTAGACGTCAGCACCGAATTTTGAAGTATTAACTACTAAATAATTTTGTTTTATTCCAAAGACCTGCGAATTGTGGCTATTTATCGTGCGATAATTCAAGCTAGTTACTAAATAATTGCCGAGGACTAATTAAAAGGGATAAAAATATTTCTTCAGTTGGTATAATGCAAGTGTTTATTAGAACGTCTTCAGCATCCATCGATGACCTAAATGTGCTAATATCTAATATTTAGTATAGTATTCTAAAATTCTGTCGGCCACATTTCTACTCAACCGATATGTTATGCCAGCCGATCCACCAGTAATAAAAATATCGCTAGTCACTTCCTATAAAGTTTTAGTAGCCCACTAGATGGCACGAGTAGCATACATTATCCCCGATAGTTTATTCATCATTCTATAATTTGCTAATGTACTTTTTTTGTCCCATAGTGAAACAGCAGTAAGTCTTCGGATTTGCAACACAACGATCAGGGGTTCGATTCCTCTCGATGGACACAGCAGATAGCTAGATGTGGCTTTGCTATAACAAAACACACAGCACACCTTTATTTAAACTTTTTGGTGCAAATAACAAACGGCAAAAAAGTTAACCTCTTAAAAGCGCAAATATATATTCAAATAACCAGTTAACTTGTGAAATTTGGTCATTGTCTTTTACATTCCTACCGGTAGGTGGCTAAAGTATGCACTAGCAATCAGGATAGCAAGCATTCGCAATTCAAACCAAATATAGACGTCGCTATCAGCGCTCACAACATGGCGGACGCATAGAAGGTAAGGAAGTACTACTTAATGCTTATACTGTCAGGAGCTTGTTTTTGTCTTGGAATTTGAAGTGTTGAAACACGAAATATGAGTTATTGTTGTTAATTAATGATAAATATGGAGTGGCACCTATTAGATTTTCAATCAATTTGATAGTATAATTTACAGTCAAGCAATTACGTATGGGGAGAAAGTACAGTAAATGTACAGCATATTCAATATGTAAGCATAACTAGAGAAGTGTACATGTATTACGTTTCTGTATGAAACTACGGACGTCAAAAAATGCAGTCTGGAGTTCAAAATGTACTTTGTTTTGGAGAGAAAAAAAGGTGTTGTAACTGTCTGGCAGGAAATTTTAAGAAATGCAAGCACTGTATTGGTCTACTAATATAATAGTAGCCCATAAAACTTGCAAAACACAAAATTTGAAACCGCAAGTTTGCATGTAACTCCACATGAGCCCAACAAACCTTCATGCCAAATTTGGTTAAGACCCATCAAAAGGAGCGAAGTAGTGGTAAAAAACGTAAAAACGCCCATAAAAACCGCAAAACTGAAAATTTGGATGTATCTCCCAATAAACCTTTATACAAAATCTGGAGAAGACGCATCAAATGGTTTGTTTGTAATTAAGCACAAAGCTACACAATGGGCTATCTGTACTCTGCCCACTACGGGTATCGAAACCCGGATTCTAGCGTTGTGAGTCCGCAGATATGCCGCTGTGTCACTGGGGGGGGGGCATCAAAAGGAGCGAAGTCGTGGTAAAAACGCCCATAAAAACCGCAAAACGCAAAATACAAAACTGAAAATTTGTATATATCTCCCCATTGATTCAAGAAACCTTCATGCCAAATTTGGTGAAGGTTGATCAATAGAGGGCGAAGTAATGATAAAAAGCGCAAAAACGCCCATAAAAACCGCAAAATGCAAAACTGAACATTTGTATCTATCTCTCAATAGACCCAATGAACCTTCATACCAAATTTGGTAAAGGTCCATCCACAGGAGGTAAGGTAATGGTAAGAAACGCAAAAACGTCCATATAAAACCGCAAAACGCAAAATACAAAACTGAAAATTTGTATGTACCCCGCATAGACCTAATGAACCTACTTACCAATTTTGGCGAAGATCCATCCACACCCTGCGAAGTAGTTAAATGGACATACAACAGTTTGTTTGTTTGTTTTGAATTTCGCACAAAGCTACACGAGGGCTATCTGCACTAGCCGTCCCTAATTTAGCAGTGAAAGACTAGAGGGAAGGCAGCTAGTCATCACCACCCACCGCCAACTCTTGGGCTACTCTTTTTACCAACGAATAGTGGGATTGACCATCATTTATAACGCCCCCACTTATATAGATTTATTGGTTAACATACCATAACATATCATAATTAGAAATGTTCCAAATGATTATTTTTATGGAATTTAACGCTAAAATTTTTTTTTCTTTTGAGAAATGGCATCAGGATATTAAATAAAATCGTTTTACAAATGATTCGTTTGGTACCATTTAGAAGTCGGGGCAACCAGCGATTTAGAAGGAATTACGTGACACACACAAAAAAAGACACTGGATCTTATCATATAAACTTTGTTATAATAATAAAGTTACTATTACCTAGAAAATGTAATTTAATTTTGGAAGTTGTTTTTAACACACCATCAATGTATACGAAACACACTTTCCGATTTCCAAGGCACATATTTTATTTGTTTGCAATATTTTTAATTTTTCAGAAAATGGCGAAATGACACAGAACCTCCTAATGCAGGGGTTCCCAAACTTTACCAACCGACGGACCCCCTTCAACTTCTTTACTGTGTTTGTGGACCACCTCCCGTTAAAAATTGTTTTTATCATGTGTAACTGGTGTACCATATGCATATTTTACTACCCTTAATTTGGGATTTATATATATTACTGTATTAGTTTTATAATGTCTTAGCATTTTATTTTATTCGTTAGTCTTTCAGTAAATGGTAATTTCATAAATTTGATTTATTACTGCAGACCCCCAGAGGCTGCGGAAAACAGTTTGGGAACCTCTGTCCTAATGCATTATAATCATGCTAAAGTATACCCAACAATACCTATTTGGATTTCATTGGTTCATATTTAGAAATTCCGTTAATATAAATTGTAACTAAACACGACAGACCTAACTAACAACAATCAGTCCTTTACGCGCCTCCCAGTTGGCACAGCGGTATGTCTGCGGACTTACAACGCTAGAAACTGGGTTTCGATACCCGAGGTGCGCAGAGCACAGATAGCCCGGTATGTAGCTTTGTGCTTAATTTCAACCAAATCCTTTACGCGTCCACCCTCCATATTTTAGTTTTACCATTTGCTACTAGAGTGAGTCAACTGAAATGAAATTGCGAATATCTATCGTTCTCTAGCTTCTCAGGAGACTATTAGGTTTACCAGTAACCATTGTAATTTAGTTTCTGTACCCTAAATCCCCAGTAGACAGCCAGCCAGCAGTTTTATTTATCAAGAAAAGGTTGTTAGTCTAGACACTTCCGAATGAAGATTTTTTCATACAAAACCGACTAGAAACCTTAGCAATCTTCTTTTTTCAGGTAAAGTACGTTTCTTTAAAAAAACCTAGAGTTTGAAGTAATGGCTAAGATTGAGTGTTATATATAGGATTTGATAGTTGTTATTCTACAGCAGCGTTGTCGAATTAATATAGTCTTATCCACATAGGATTTGATAGTTGTTATTCTACAGCAGCGTTGTCGAGTTAATATAGTCTAATCCACATAGGATTTGATAGTTGTTATTCTACAGCAGCGTTGTCGAGTTAATATAGTCTAATCCACATAGAATATAGAAATTATACGAATAATATTCTTTAAATATGAACTTAATTTCAATCTTGTATTTTGGAAACTTAAAATATCGTTATGGTTAGAAACTATTCAGAGGTAAGTAAACATTTTCGATGTCCTGTAAACGTTTTACAGGCCTACCAGAAGATTCAAAGTGCATGTAAAAAAATCTATTTTATGCAGTGATAAAAAAGTTAGAATACATTTTTATGCTTTTACATATTTATGTCTACGATGTAATAACCATTCATTAGACGACTGTGAGACGTTTGTGTGCGCAAGCAAACTGCACCTGGTCCCAAGGTTGTTAAACACCTTTTAAAGATAGCTTGTTACTTTTAAAATGAAGGCAAACATTGTGAAATAGCATCAGTATTGGGAAGATAATTTGTTCCTGAACAAATTTATTAATTGAATGAAAATGTTAGAACAACATTTGTTTCTTATAAATATCTGTAATAAGCATGTGTATGGATAAGATTTGAAGGTTTCG